AAAAAAACTGTAAATGGAAGATTATAAGAGAGGGTTTCGTGTGCCAGCAAAAGTTACTGGTGTGCCATGTTTGGCACGCATGCCAGGGGTTGCCCACCCCTGGCCTAAGCCGTAAGTTGGACATCCCCTGAGGGCTCCCGGACTGCGAGAGGGAGCAGGCCAGGCTGAGGGACCCCCCCCCCTCAGTGCATGAATTTCGTGCACTGGGCCTCTGGTGTATATATAAGAAAGACTTGGGCAGTGAAGGAAAAAAACAGAAAGATTGTTATGTTCTAAGAATTCCTTTATTGATAAGTTCCCTAAATCCAGTTGTGTCTATGATGGTACAGACTAGCCCATGTGAGACAAGAACAATCAGTGACAAAGCCAAAAGGAATCTAGAATTAACTGACTATTTCCTGACTCACTCTGGCTAGGACGTATAACTAGCTCCATTGGGACCATATCAGCAAAGTAGTATGATATTGTGATTTATATTAATAAATATAAATTTGGTCTTTGTCCCTTGTTTCTACATTAAACAGAGCTCCTAAAACCTTTGGGATTATCTAAATGGTGAAAGCCATAAAGATGTCTTTTGTTATGTGAATGAGATGACTTTTGGAAAGCCCCTAAATCACCTAAGGGTGGAGGCTGGTTGCCAATGGAATTAATCATGTGATTACAGGATTGGAACTTTCAGTCCCATCCCCTCACCTCAGGGAGTGGGGGGTGGGGGGTAAGGGGCTAGAAATTGAGTTCAATCACCAATGATTTAATCTAGCATGCCCACCTAATGAAGGCCCATAAAACTCCAAAGGACCACCCTGACTGGTTTGGCTCAGTGGATAGAGTGTCGGCCTGCGGACTGAGGGGTCCCAGGGTCGATGCCGGGCAAGGGCATGTACCTTAGTTGCACATCCCCAGTAGGAGGTGTGCGGGAGGCAGCTGATCAATGCTTCTCTCTCATCAATGTTTCTAACTCTCTATCCCTCTCCCTTCCTCTCTGTAAAAAAATCAATAAAATATATTTAAAAAAACAACAACAAAGAAACTCCAAAGGACTGGCCTGGAGAGCTTCCGGGTTGGTGAACACATGGAGGTGCTGGTGATACCATTGTAATATTCTGGTTATTACCTAACAGGAAAAGTGTAAAAGAGAAAACTAGATATAGGCATGCCATTTATATAGCCTTGCCAAAAAGCTGCATTTAACACTGTCCAAGTCTGTTCCAGCTCAACAATGGGGGAAGGGACTGGACAAAGGCAGTATAGACACATGCCCAGTAAGGTCTGAGTGATGGTAGGGAAGGTACTTGCCCATCAATCAAACCTGGGAGGGAGTGAGTGGCTAGGATGGGCATGGCCACTGAAATCTCTCAAAATCTAAATATATAAACGTCAAAGTTTCTCTCTCTCTCTCTCTCTCTCTCTCTCTCTCTCTCTCTCTCACACACACACACACACACACACACACACACACACACAGGCCCTCTTGGGAATCCTGCTGCAGGGGGATGCTCTCCCCAGTGTTCACATGGTGTGAGGCCATGTTGAGCTCCACACATGGACTAATGGACTTTAATCTGGCCTGAATGCTGAACTCCACCCAGCTGCAACATGGAACAAAAACTCTGGACACCAGAGTTTCTGATTTTACTAAACTCCCAGCTGCCCCTTTTCCAGGACTGGCTTAAGAGACAGGGGACTTTGGAACCCGAGAAATGTAATTCCATGCCAATAAAGCCTTTTTCCACATTGCATCCTCCTGTGCAAGATTTAGAAAATTAATTTTCTGAAGATATCCCAAGAGCCTCACTCCCACTTGGGTCTCTCCAGCATTACTGCTCTGAACGGGCATAGAAAGTCAGAGCCCTTTCCCCTTGTCCTATGCATCATCAGGCTATTCTTGAGTTATATCCTTTTATTCTAAACTGGTAATACAGGAAGTAAAATGTTTCTCTGAGTTCTGTGAGCCATTCTAGCAATTTAATCAAATCTAAGGATGGGGTCCTGGGAACCTCCTATCTATAGCCGGTGGTCTGTCAGAAGCACAGGCGATCCATTATCTGGACTTACAATTCGTGTCTGAAATGTGTGTGTGAGTGGTGGGGAGCAGGGTGGAGAGGACAGTCCTGTGGGACTGAACCCTTAACCTATAAAATCTGGTGCTATCTCCAGGTAGCTAGTGTAAAATTGAGTTGAACTGTTGGGCATCCAGCTAGTGTCCCAGAATTGCTTGGTGGTGTAGGGGGGGAAAAATCCACACGTGAGAATTGGGTAGCGGAATCTCAGCTGGTCATTCAAGAAACTTGTGAGTTATTCTTGACATTCCCTCCTGTTTCTGCTCCATAGCCAAGTCCGATAGGTTCTGCCTTCAAAGTTAAAAACAAATTCATCCACTCTTATCAATCCTGTTACCACCTCAGTTAAGCCTCCATCATCTCTCCCATGGTCCACCCTTCTCCCATTTCCCTCTACACTGTATTTTTGCTAGACAGCAGCCGGAGAGATCTTTCAAGTGGATCTCCTTATCCCCACACTAAAAATCCTTCAAAGGCTTTCTCCAATACACTTGAGATATAAACCAAATTGCTTACATGACCCACAAGGTCTTCATGATCTGGCCCCTGGCTCCCTAACTACATTTCATACCACGTACCACCTCATTTCTGCACAGTAGCTCCCTTTCCATTCATCAAACCCACCAAATTATTTCCTCCCTCAGACCATCGTTCTTGTTGCTCCCTCTACTTAACATCTCTCCTTATTTTTTACCCAGTTAACTCATTTATCTTTCAAATAACAGATAAAATGTGACTTTATCAGAAAGACACCCCCCCTCTCCCGGCTCTCCAATTTAAATTAGGGCCTTCTTGAAAACTCCTTAATAATTTTATTAATCAATGTCACCCCAATAAATTCAATAAGGTAAAAAAAAATTAGAATCCCCTTTTATATGCTTCCATTACATTGGTTATTTTAGTTCATCCTATATAATAAAGAGGCAATATGCAAATTAACCCTCTCGCCCTCACAAGATGGCTGCCTACGACCAGGCCAGCAGGGGGGTTAGTGAGGGACAACCAAACGACTGAACAGCA